ATGTTTGAGAATTAAATCTGATTCGTGGCTTCTTTCATGGTAAGTCGACTCTTTAATGAATTCAAGTTTTTGAACAACTAAAGTCTCTTAAGAATCGGGAGTCACTGACAATCTATTCCATTGTGCACCAACCCCTCATATCTATTTAATCGGCATAACAAGAGGGGCCATTCACTTATGACGTGGTCTAGGATTTTTTGACAGTTCAAACAATGGAAATTTTTTTCTATAGAGTTTTTGTGACAGAGGGGGGGAGGAGGGTCTAAAAATCAGGTTTTTTGATGGACGTCATAAGTGAACGACCCCAGAGCAATACTTTAATTTTAAGAATATTCATCATTTGATTTTCCTGAAGGTCAAAACGTATGGGTTCATTTTAATGAAAATTTGAACAAATAATAATGAAATGGTTTGAAAAGTCAACAATATAAGGAAATTAGTTACAAAAGTTTCCAGTCCTTTTAGTTTTAAAAGAGAATTTTTTGAAATTTTCGAATAAAACTTTTTTATTTCTTCTCTTTTCAATGAAACTAATCAAACAAAAAAATTTTAAATTAAATAAAATAAAATGATTTCTTTCGAATGAATTTAAAATTCATTTTGTGTTCGGTCCAGATCGCTTGTGGATGTTTAATTTCAACGAAAAATCTGTAAAACAATAAAATTATTGTTCATTGTGTGAAATTTTGCATGTACCAGATGCTGAATAAATGATTAGCCGAGTTACTGATTGACCAATATGAAAAAGATTTGTGTGAAGGAACTGCCATCTGTGAGATTGTTATTGGTCAGGAAAGTCATGAAAGCTTTAACTCTTCATGATTTTTTCAATTAACAAATTTTGCACCAAAACATTTAAAAAATTTTGCGAAACTTAATTTATTTGGCTTCATGAACAGAAAATGCAAGGAAAAAATCTATCATAAAAACAAAGACTAATACTCAATCATCTATGAAGGCTTAACTTCATAGAATAACTGATTTTAATTCATTAGAGAAACACCATTGAAGCGTAATTGTGTCATTATATTAATAAACAATCTAGGTCGCATACATCCTATCGTCACCTCTTTAATCTTAATCACTAAAAAAGTCGCTGTGGCAGCAAACGATGTATCGCTTAGGTGATTTCATCTTTTCAGCTTATCCTAACACCATATTGCTTTCAACCTTAAAAATTACTTATTTTTCTATTATTACATTTTGTTCTGTTTTCTTAGAATTTGTTTTTTATGACTTATTCTTATACAAAGGCGTGCTTTCCTGGGAAACTGTGTTGACGTCAAGCGAGAATCAGATTTACTGAAGCTTCAAATGCCTTGATTCATTTATATTTACGAGTAAATGTGTGATTAGAAAAATCAAAACAAGTCAAAACTGATATTCATGAAATGGTTTGCGTAATATTGAATTAAGTTTGAATTGAAGTTGGAAATCGGCATTTCTCGCATCAATTTAAAATTTTCTCGCATTAATTGATCCAAAGAATTTCGAAAATTTAATAACCGTTAAACATTCATTCAATTTACATCTAAAATTTCGCATCAATTAATGCTAAACTTTCGCTTCAAGTGATGCAAAACTTTTGCTTCAAAAGATGCAAAACTTTTGCTTCAAGTGATGCAAAACTTTTGCTTCAAAAGATGCAAAACTTTCGCTTCAAGTGATGCAAAACTTTTGCTTCAAAAGATGCAAAACTTTCGCTTCAAAAGATGCAAAACTTTTGCTTCAAAAGATGCAAAACTTTTGCTTCAAGTGATGCAAAACTTTTGTTTCACGTGATGCAAAATTGCGCTTCTATTGATGCAAAAACTTTTTTAAAACTCATTCATCGAATTATGAACCTTTTAAATCTTTAAGAGAACAATGCTAACAATGTTTCATAATCTTATCTTTACTAAACATTCACGTCAGCATCTGCTAAGAGCACACAAGCGATATTTGTAAAGCTTCATCAATTCATTGCTTGTCACACATGTGCAGCTTTTGTTTCTGTAAAGCGCGCATCAAAAAAAAAAATGGAGAAGAAGGAGAAAAAAAACTTCAACGGAAGTAAAATCCGTACATAATGCTCATATCATCTCGTTACGATAATAATCATTTGCTTGAAAAATCTCTCTCTGATAAGTCGAGAAGAAAATCATCCCATCATCATCATCATAGACGTTACCGCACATTCTATTGTATTTTTCATACAACAACCAAATTGTATGCATGCATGCTGTATGTGATGTTAGGAATACATTCAATTGTTTGCATTGCAATTTATTACATAAGAAACATTTATGTATGTTGATCTATAACATGATGTAATATAAAGAAAGAATTTTATTCTTATTGTTGCAATTTCAATGTTTAAATGTGAATGGGGCTGACAAGGAACGGGAGGAGGTAGATGGGTTAGAAAAGAAGTAAAAAATAAAATAAAAGAGAGATATGTAGGATGTATTGATGTGAATGGGTGAAAAAAGAAAGAAGGAGAGAAAAAGGATCACGTAGAATTTGAACAATGCTTATCAATTGCTACCAAGAATGAAGAAAAAGGATGTTGAACAAGCTTTTTTTTTCACACACCCGCTTCGGAAATGTCACACAATTGTATTCACATGTGTGCGATGACAAGCTTCATAGCAATTATTGTTAAGCACGAACTATTGTAGAAAATGATAATAAAAGTATGAAAAGTATCATCATCATCATCAGCACATGAGACATAAATGTGTATATGTGCAAATGGGTGTTGATTTTTTTTTTCTTCCTGTTTATTATTTTCTGTGGTTAATAAAACAAAACAAAAAAAATTGTTAAAATATAAAATAAAAGTTTTTCATTTCGGAACTTTTTCTTAATTTTCTTGTTCGGGATTTTGAGCATACAAAGTTTTAATACGGAAAATTTGAAAGCTTTCAGTTTTGGAAGTTCTTTTGTTTGTTGTGTAAGATTAAGCAAATTATTGGGAAACGGTGGAAGAAGTATAATGTTTTCGTGTGTGTTTTGTGTCTTATAGAGCTTCTTGTGATGAAAGATTTTGTTAAACTGTCGGAAAATCAATTGTATTCTGCTAATGGAGCTAGCAATCCAAGACAAAACTAGTCACAGTGTTGAGAATATAGTAACGGTTCTTTAATATTCAAATTATGCATGCAACCATAATTATTTTCTTTCACCTTGTATAGTTGTTAACCCCTTCATATGAATATTTTGTTTTTTTCTAATCGTCAAACAATAAACCAGTGTTGCAAATGTAGATGTCTACACTAGATGAAGAATGTAGATTCTTCAATAGTTATTGTCTAGCTAAGAAACTTTCTTCATAAAGATCGATTCTACATGAAGATAGAAAATCTAATCTACACAAAGATTATTTCTACATAAAGATTCTGTCTACATAAAAATTCGATGCAGATGTCTACAATTCTACATTCTTCTCTGATGTAGACCTGGAAAAAATGTAGAATTGTAGACATCTACATCGAATCTTTATGTAGACAGAATCTTTATGTAGAAATAATCTTTGTGTAGATTAGATTTTCTATCTTCATGTAGAATCGATCTTTATGAAGAAATTTCTGTCTCAGAATTTATCTGATCCAGACAAATGGCCAGAATGCAACATTGAATAAACATCGTTATTAATTATATTTAATCGTAAGGTTTTCTTTGATTAAGTTTATTAATACATAAACATTGTGTTCATCATATCCAACACAAAAGAATGTTGAATTCCTTAAAACATTGAAAAAAACTTTACAAACATATTCAAAAGTTCAAGGTAAATCCATCAGAATTGAAAACAAAAATAATAAAACATTTGCTATTTGACTTTACATTCTACAAGATTTTCCGAATGAAATAACTTTGAATGTTCCATATCATTGACTTCGTCTTAAAAATTGTATACAATAATAAAGAAAATCGCTTCGCAGGGTAATCAGTTGAAAGCTTTCTGATGAATTTCAAAACAAATCTTAATCCAATATCTCGGAAAATGAAATGTATGCAATGTCGACAGAAGGAAAAAATCATGTTCGATCGCAAGCATTCAAAAACATCTTTTTTTCGTATTTTTCATTTAGCTGGAAGTTATTTACGAAAGCTTTTTGATTTGCTGACGTCCTCTGAAGTTGACAAGATCATTTGTGTATGGGGGCTGTACAGAAATAGAATATCTTTAAGATTTTTAAATTTTGATAACAAAAAAAAAAGTTTATCAAAGGAAATTGAAAGAATGTTTTGGATGTAAAAAAAAGAAGTTTAAAAGCTTTTCAAAAGTTTTCTTTTTATAAATGAAATTATTCATTAATTGGGTGCTTCTTAAAGCTATTCATAATATTACAATATTATCGTTTAAAAGCTTAATGGCATTAATCATCTTTTATGTTTGCGATAAAGATAATCTGGAGCTAATAACAATTTTGCAAATATTTGCGGTCAATATAGATAAAGATTGAAGGATAAATTGGTATTTAGGAGCCAAATTGTCACTAAGCAGCGTTAAATAAACTCAATTAGAAAAGCTATGTTTCATATTCTCATGGTCAAAACCTACTTGTTGAACTATTTGCTTACTAATACTTTATAGAAAGCTGTAAGCGCACTCTTACTAAGCTACTCCTTTTGAGTACACAGTTACAATGATTCTAGTTCCACCATTAAAAATTATTCTTCATATATTATCAAGACATTGTTCACAACTACTTAAAAGCTCTCCGACACACAAGAACCTCCAACTTTTTGAGAAGAAAAAAAAACTTTCCAATGACATTTATTATGTTTCCAACTCTCGACAATGAGCTTGTTGTCATGTATGGAATAATAGCAACATTCGTTATGAGATTACTCTATTGTATTATATTCTCAACCGCTTCTTTCCGTTAGCATTATTCAATAATATTAATTAATCACATTAATAGCATGATATATTCATAATAATGGCATGAATAAAATAAAGTTCATCCCTAAACGTACGTATATAGATAGAAATGGATAAAGATACTTACCATATTTCTAAATTCAGCTTCAGTTGCTTAATATTCTACACACTTGCTTGATTCTTCTTACTACTCGTTCTCTATTACAAAAGCATAAATTCTTTTTTTTTTTCTCTAACTGACTCTCGTCTTGTGCTTCTCGCCTATCGAGATAGGAAACTCTTTTGTCTCAATTTGTAATTCAGGGATGATTACATTGTACATTCCTAATGGATGACATTTATAATTCCTATAATCGTTAATAATTTGTTTAAAAATTTTTCACTTTAATTCATCGTCAATGCATCATATTCAGCTAGTGATTCCACCATTGGATAATAAATTTAATGCTTCTATTATTTTCACATTCGGATATACTCTTTTATTTATTCCCTATTGATGGTGCTGTTGACTAAATTTTTACGACTAAATACACTCAGAGAAATATTGATGAAATATTGCCACATCGATTAGATTGAATACAATATGTGCAGCAGTTCTTTACTGTTTTTTTTTCACAATGAAATTAAATTTAATTGAATGCGCTTTATGTGAATCGCATATTCACTCATTCATCCACTAAAATTTCCACTGGAACAACTTCCTTCTTTTATGTCGTGGTTTATTATGTATCTACATATGTATAGCGCACTTATACTTGTTTATCTGGTAATCACTCAATTTCTATTCATCATATCCTTACGGTACTAAACATAAACACAAATTTATTTAAGTCAATGGTACTGCCAATGACGCATTTAAATACTCTTCATTGTGAATTTGCATTTCATCCCACTCCTGATCTGCCTTTTTAGCCTCGATAATGACGATATAAAAAACGCCACATTATATATTCTGGATCGACAAAAAAAAAAACAAAATAATGTATAAACGACAACAAGAAAGAATACAAAATTTAGGATGAAAATTTACATTATGTATGTATATTGTAATATTGCAGAACGAAGTGGCAGAGAGAGATGGAACAAGAGAAAATGAGAAAACGTGCACATAAAATCTAAACTATAAGGCACAACTTTACCAACAAAAAATGATTTCTGTGAAACAGTGGTTGATGGTTGATGGAATAGAGCGCATTATTTTAGAGATACTGGGGGTCCTCGATTTGAGTATGTGTTTTGTTCCAGAAAAATCCTGTTCTAATCTAATCTACTCAAATCGAGGACCTCCTGTAGAATAAAATACACAAAAAATACATTAATATTGCATCAGGAATATAGTATTAAATAATTTTAATTAGGATTCGAACCAATGCTTTGACATAAGAACATGTCGAACCACGTTGAACTGAATTTCTTTAATTTGTAGTTTTGACAAAATTGATTATAAATAGATTGAACTAGCATCTTTAAGACGTTTTCTTAAAATTTCTCAAAAATTAATTGTTCTTTCTTTTTTGTATTGATTGATATCATTTAGAGGTTGCTTGCAGAGTTACCGAGATTTAAAGAACTTTATTAAACTTAAAAGATTATTCAGCTTGGCATTGGAAGGTGATTTGATCCAAAAATACCACATTTATGATTCCATTTAAATGACTAGATCTGGTAAAAGAAGCTAATCCTATTAAAATATCATTACTCAATTATTTAAGGCTCATTTATTCAGAAAAACTGAAAGAAGTTGAATAATTTTGGCATGGTCCGGCTTAGGACCGAGTTTAAAAAAAGTAACTTTCACTAGTCAATCACTTTAATCCCCTAGCTGGTATTGTTAACTTTGCTCTATTCGGAAAGTACGTTTTTTCCGTTCAACTTCCTGTTGAGAACAATCACATAAGTTCAGATTGAAAATTTCTAGCAAGACGAAAAGGACCCAAGGCGTTGACACTAATTTCATCCGGATTTGTTCCGGATGAAAAATTCTATTGTTCCAGATGAAAAATTCTATTGTTCCGGATTTAAGATTCTTGTGTAAAGGATGAAATTTTTCTTTTGTTCCGGATGAAAAAAAATTTGAGCGTCAATGCCTTGAAAGTACCTAAAAACCCACAAGCCAAAAAGAAACAAAATTTTCAAAAGACTCCTTCATAAACAAATGCTGAACATCCTGCATCCAGTTTGCCATTACATCATCCAACAACCCACAACCAATAAACTGTACACAGAAAGGCATTAGTTGTGCGAAAATGTGCTAAAAAATATTCATATAGATATGTATATTGACGAGGGGTAGTTATTGTTTATTGAAGGCTTTTTTTATGAAAAAAAATTCTCTCAATTTTAATGCTATGCATGTGCTTGTGCCTGTGTTTGTTCACTTGAAAATAGAGATTTTCTGCTGATGATAATACTGATATTATTATTATTGTTATTATTATTTTTATGTTGCTCTATATTCATTTAAATTGGTTGTCTATCTCTCATGTTTATTAATATATATATTTTTATATTAGGTAGACGACTGTAGACGACTCTTCTATGGACTCAAAAATTGTACAGTTCAAACAACTCTCGTTCAGGCTTCCAATGTGTTGAGATTTTTCATCCAAAAACTATATATATGTACTGTTTTAAGCTTGATACACACATATGTAGGTATTATGCTACTTCTGCTTTTAGTTTTTATTTTGTTTTTTTTTTTCAAAAAAAAAGCTTTTATGTTGGGATTCTCATATAATTCTGCAGTGCGACAATTTGTAAATTTTTGGTCACAACCTGAAATGAAAATAAGAGAGAGAAAAAAAGAAATCTGTTAAACATTATTCAGAATGAGGTAAAGCTTTTATAAAATATCATTGTGTACATAAATGCACACATAAAATCCTATGTTGGGTATATATGTGAGTGGATATGGCAAATTATATTTATGCAAGGTTGTGAAAATTATAATCAAAAAAAATCATAATGGAAAACATAAAAAAAATTCAGATGAAATAAAAAAAAGTTTAATTGAATTTTAGCGGTTTTATGAGCGAATAAACAATGAAATGTTAGTGATTTTGTCATGAGTCGACGGCCATAACGCATATTTTTTTGTGGGTTCGTCAACTTTTTTGTATTTGATTGAAATTTTTTGCAATAAAGCTTTGCAAGTTTTCATTTTCATAACTTTTCAAAACAGTCGACGACAAATGTAACGGACTTTTCAAATTTGAATTATGGAAAAACTTCTTATTCCCGCCAAAAAGTTTCCACCTCAAAAAGTTTTTCACGATTTTTTCAACCTTACCCTAATAGGCAAAGAGCATGCTCACAAATTTGAGCACATGCAAGAGCATACTCAATTATAGAAATTTATGTGCTCAAATGAACATACTCTCATGAGTACATAATGAGTACAAAAACGTAGTATACTCAGTTGAGTACATTCATTGAGTACGCTCTCTTACATACTCTAAGTACATCAACATGATACAAAAAATTTTCTTTATGTGCTCTCTTGAGTATACTTATTGAGTATGTCCTCTCTCACATTGTGAGTATGACAAATGTGAGTGTAATTTCAAAGACAGTATACTCTCGTCAGTATACTCTTCAAGTGTACTCAAGAGCATATTCAGAGCATATCTTTCTGATAATTCACATTTAAATACATTATGCTCATCTGAGTACACTTTCTGAGTGCACTCTCAAATGTACTCTGAGCACGTCATTGTAATAAGTTTATGTAAGAAACATTATGCTCATCTGAGTACACTTTCTGAGTGCACTCTCAAATGTACTCTGAGCACGTCTTTGTAATAAGTTTATGTAAGAACATTATGCTCATCTGAGTACACTTTCTGAGTGCACTCTCAAATGTACTCTGAGCACGTCTTTGTAATAAGTTTATGTAAGAAACATTATGCTCATCTGAGTACACTTTCTGAGTGCACTCTCAAATGTACTCTGAGCACGTCTTTGGAATAAGTTTATGTAAGAAACATTGTGCTCATCTGAATACACTTTCTGAGTGCACTCTCAAATGTACTCTGAGCACGTCTTTGTAATAAGTTTATGTAAGAAACATTATGCTCCTCTAAGTACACTTTCTGAGTGCACTCTCAAATATACTCTAAGCACGTCTTTTTTACATGTCACATCCAATTGGATTATGCTTAAATTCTCACTCTTAACAAATATTTACTTACAAGAATCTCTAGGTTTAATTTAAAAAAAAAAGTTTATAAATATCAGTTTGAAATCGTTTGTATGCTTCAGCACTGTACTTTTGTATTGGAAAAAAAATTGTCGAAAAATGAAATTTTTGCAATACTTCCTTCCGATGCAGTTTATGACCAAAACTTTGATTGAAACTGATGAGAATCATGATTTAAGACCTTTTGACATCTAAAAATTTTTACTTGGATGCTTCAGTTCCTTTAATTTTGACTTTTTCAATTTCGTTTGTGGAGTACTTGGAAATTTCATCACAGTAAACATTTTTGGGTTTTCACGTGTGAATTTATTGGTTTTGTTCAGATTAAAAAATTAGTTTTTTGAATTTTGTGAGGATATGGAACAAAGTAGCTTAAAATGGTCAGAGATGAAAAGTTTTATGCCTGGAATTTCACATCTTTTGCAAAACACAGATTTCAAATTGATTGCGACATTGCTGAGAAAATCGCAAAATACGCTTTCTGTAAGCAAACAAGCCAGCAAGTTAATCAGCAAGAAACGAGACATCGTAGAGACTTCTAGTTTTTTACATTTGATTCGTGCTGCTCTATAGAAGAGCTGCATTGTTTTTAGGCAAGGTAGAAACAGCCGTTGCTTCAGAAAAAGCAAAAAACTTTCCTTTCTTACGAATTTTTCAAAACAAAAGTTCACTGTGATTTTTATAAAATTAAACTTTTGATGAAAAAAAAAAATTTAAAAATCTTTCAAAGAATGTTCGTTAAGCTTTAAACCAGACTACCGCCAATTCATATAACATCCGTTAAATTTATATTCAAAAAAATTCAAATTTTTTATGACCGTTATGATATTCAAAAAATTTTGACGGTTAAACCAGATTTTACCATGCACTTACTCATTTTGCTCAAATTTTATTGTTAATAAAGTTGAGAATAGATAAAAAAAAATATAAAATTTATAATTTATGAAGAACTTTGGGATTTGTGCAGAATTGGTATTAATTAAAATAATTTATTGTTTACATAATGTAACTG